TTTTTTAAGAGATGGGATCTTGCTGTGTTGACCACGCTGGTCTCAAACTCCTGGGTTCAAACAATCTTCCTGCCTCAGCCCCCAGAAAGTGCTGGGGTTAATGAGGTGTGTAATATACTTTTGGTGCTGGTCGGGATAGGCAGTGGGTCCAGGTGCTCTGCCCTGAGGACATGACCAGTCAACTGAGGCCCAGATGAGGAGCGAGACGAAGCCACAGGACGGCAGGAGGCTGGAGAGGAGAGAGCTCAGGCGGAGGAAACAGCATGTCAAGTGAACCACATCAAGAAGCGTCAGAGACTTTCCTCTTAGAACTTGGGTTTTCTTTGGTTTCTGACCTGCCATCAAAAGGCTGCACTTCACGTGGCGCTGGCACTATCTGTAGTGTGTTTGGAGAAAATAAGTGCCCGTGGAGCCAGGCAGCGTTCGGTGATGACTCGTAAAGCTCACTCTGTACATTCAGCGGAGTATTTAACTCAGGGGCGCTTTCTTGCTTTTCATTAGTGGCTCCATTGAGCTTTCTGAGAAACAGAAAAAAAAGAGGAAAATAAAGGCACACAGATGTTTATTTCTGAAAATAAGATATAGCATTTGTACCCCAAGTCAGTGCCCAACAAGCTAAATATTTCAGGGGTTACATTATTTTACTTTAATGTAGAATTTTTTTTTCCTGAAAATATTTTAGTTTCCCAAAGAAAGTATAGAGCTTTGTCAAGATGTTTAAATTAACAATTAAATAATCAGTTAAAACAACATGCCATTCCTTAAGTCGAGTACATTTCTGCCATTATTTAATTTTTTGAGGTTTCTACATTGAAAGCAGTAGTTACTGCCTTACAATTCAGTGTTTAGAAGTCAGTGCTAATTCCAAGTTCCTGACTAGGCCGGTGTCCTAGGCTCTTCCAGCCAATCTGGAGTGTGGCTTATGAAGCCTAATTATTCTCTAGACTTTTCATTAAATAATGTGAACACTTACCTGTGGAGTATAAGCTTTGCTACATTGGATATGGAAAGACGAAGATTTCAGATGGGCTTGGTTCTAGGAGCACGGGATGGCGGCCACGCTTTGGACGGTGTGGAAGTTCTTTCCGTGTAGTTTACACAGCGGGTAGAGCTTATTCAGCTGTCCCACTTACACAGTACCCACAGCGGCTTCCTCGGTCTCTTCCTTGGCCTCTATGGAAATGCACCCGTACAGGGGGGAAGGTCAGCTTCACAGTGAGTCTTTTTCAAGCCCATCTTTTACCCCTCTGGAGGTCACACTGACCTTGAGGAACTGCAGTTCCCTGTTTCCACAGGTTTCTTTTCTTCCTTCGAGGCAGCAGCACCCTCTGCCCTGCCTGCTCCGGGCACATCAAAGAGTTGGAGTTGTGTACACAGCAGTCTTGGGGTGACTGTGGCTGGTATTAAACTAGGAGACGGATTTGAATCTCATCTCCTCTTCTTGTCAAATATGAGTTTTTGGGCAAATCACGTAACAATTTCCGGATCTGTAAACTGAGGATGGTACTAGTTCCGGTGTTGTGCTGCAGCCTGACGTGCATGCCTCTCTCCCGACTTTGAGTTCAGTGAGTCCTGTGGGAGCCTGAGATCCGCCATGGTGGGAGTGTTGACACCACCAGTCAATACTACAAAGCAGATGCTTTTTGCAAGGCCAGGTGGAGGGCCTGGGTGGGCGGGGCAAGAGGGCAGGGCCATTTGTACCTTTATCAGCACCCGGCTGAGTAGTTCATACCTCATAGGGTCTTGGGGAGATAATTAAGGAGATGCCTGGGGTGTGCTTAACATGGGGGAAAGTCCACAGTAAGGGCTCATTTCCTTTATTATTCTCCTCTTTCATTTCCTCTTTTATTCCAACA